TTCTTGTATGCATAAATAAATAAATCTTTAAAAAAAAGAAAAAAAAGATAAAATATATTTGATATAATGTGGGTCACCAAAAGTTAGAGAATAAAGACTTGTAAAGATCTTAAATTGTCCCTGAAATTAAGAAGTTACTTCTGTCTGATCCAGCAGTTTTCAAGCACCACTCTATTAAAAGTGGCTTTCATTTCTCCATTAAGTAACACCCTCTACATAATGTACCTAAGATACACTTAAGATATCTACTGGTATTATAAAATGTCTAATTCTGTCTACAGCTTCACAAAATAATGGTCAGACATTTGTTTCTGCTAATTATATTAGAGATGATGCAGTAGGTTTCCTCTATTTTTAGCTGCTGTTTATTCTTCATTAAATATACAGTTTCAACCTACTTTTTTGATCAGACCCTGGAACAAATATGCTCTGCTCCTCCCCAGAGGCAACCCGTTTGTGGTGCCTAATATCTCTAATATTAGGCATCACTGTGAAGTAAGCATGATAATCACATCCCATCGTGGACTGTTGTTGAAATCAATGAGATAATATATGCACAGAAACCAGCAGTACCTCAAAATGGATTAACACACCCCTCCTTTGCTTCATCCCTTATGCCAATGGCTTTTCTGGAACATTCTGCCCTGTTTACCCCTTTAAAAGCCAGCACAGGGATTCAGACTGGCGTAGATGCCATTTACCCAGCAGCCTGTCCCAGGGCCAGGCTCTGATGAAAATTCCTATTATAATGCATAACCATGAGGAGTCCAGAACGAAATTGCTTTGGGAGCCTTTGTGTGATTAACATTTCGGCTGTTTATGGAGTCTGTGCCCTATCATTTCCTGTTTTAAAAAATTAATGTGCCAGTTTCTTTATTATTAAAATCCAAGAAGGGGAAGTTCAGCCTGAGCACAAAGGAATAGTTCTATAAGATCCAAATAAAAGTTTCTGAGTCAGGAGAATATTGGGAAGACCCATTTTTATTCAGTTTTTCTTTTAGTCCCTACAACCTTTTCTTTTGATGTCACTCCTCCCCAGCCCCAGTTCCCTGCCCATCCCCATCCCACCACTGAATTTCTGTGGGATCAAAGGCATTTGAGAGTGAACAGTATATGAGTTTTTATTAATGCCCCTGGGATTGTTTCTGATGGTATTGTGATACCCATTGAATCAAGAGTTTTATTTTTTATATGTATTTTCCATCATTCTCACTCTTTGTACAGTGTATGTTTTAAATGCAAAAGGGACTTTGGAGGCTGTGTACCATGGCTCTCTCAATTTACAGAGGAGAAAACTGAGATTTGTAGGTTTAGTTAACCATGGAGACACAATTAATTCATGATTCAGTTCTTTCTGAATGAAACCAGATCTGACACATATCCCTCAAATTATCTAAATTTATTGCTTTTGTTTAACATGTATAGAAGTTTAAATCCTGCCCCTCCATTTGGGATTATCCATTCTCTTCTCCATGACACAACTCAGTACAGACATTGTGATGGAACCTGCCACTACCCACTGAGCTTCCACAGGGAGGGAGCACAGACTTTCTCAGGCCAGAGAGAAAGCCCTATTCAAAAGAAGGAGAGATTTAGATTAGAATTAAGGGGGAGAAATATCTGAGTCACAAGAACTAACTCTCACGTGGAATTCTGTGATTCTAGAATCAGGAGAAGTTTTGCTGTGCTAACAAATGAACCTCCAAATTGCAATGGCTTAAACCAAAGGTTTACTACTGTATACAATTCATGATCACTAACTGCTTCAAATGTTGGTCCCCTTCCAGACTCAGGCTGATGCAACATCCTCTAATTCAGATATATCTAGTGGTCATCACAACAGAGAGAAGAGATATGGAAATCTGAAAGATTCATTTTGGAAATGATGTGTATTACTTCATCCATATTCCCTTAAGTAAAGCAAGTCCACGCAACTCCTGAGTTCAACAGGACGAAGAGGTTCTTCATGGAAGGAAGTGAAATATTTGATAAAAAGTAATATACAGTAGTTTGCTCCCACTTATGTGCAGTCACTTCCTGCAATTTCAGTTACCCATGGTCAATGCAGTCTCAACCACTCCATACAGTTGGATATTTTGAAAGAAATCACTTTTATACAAATGTTATTACAGTATAATTAAAATTACTCTATTTTATTATTAGCTATTGCTATCAATCTCTTTCTGTTTCTCATTTATAAACTAAACCTCCTCATAGGTATGTATGCAGAGCAAAAGCATGGTCTACAGATACAGGGTTCGGTGCTATCTGCGGTTTCAGGCAGCCATCTGGAGGGACTTGGGACACACCAGCTGTGGAAGAACAGGGACTACTATAATCCACCACACCTGGATTGGCAGGTTGTGAGTCTCTTTTCCGAAATTTTGAATTTCCCTTTTCAGCTGTCAGCAAATTTTACAATACTGCTCTGGAGCTGGGGTAAAGAATACAAAGTAAGTTTGCAGAAGAATGAGAATCAGAATGCTTGGGTTGGAAAGGCCCATAGACACAGCACTATATTTTATGAATGAGAAAACAAGCTCAGAGGAGCTGTGATCTTGGCTAAGGCAACCCTGTACCATGCGAGTGTTAAGATCAAATCCCAAACCACAGGTTTCAGCTCATCCCTCCCTTGTCTACATGAGATAACCCAACTTAAGGTCCACGAATCACACTCAAGGCTTTGCACAGCATGGCTATAGTCCCTGCCCTTCAACTTGATTTATGATCCTGTAGGGAGACCCTCACAGCAATGAGTTACAATGGGCTTTTCTCAAACCTATTCTCCTTGCTCTGTTGAGAAGAGCTGTAATTATGCCCAGTTCTTTGCTTGTTTTACAGCTTGGCACTGACATCGTGAGAACATCTACAATAAAAATGTCTATGGGACTTTGTTTCCTTTTGTATAAATTCATTGTCTGGAATCTAGCAGCCTCATGTCCTGGTGATTTATCAGAATTAGTTCATTTAGGAAGAAGTGCCTTGCTCAATTGAAATCTGCTCTCTTTGTTTTACCCAAACACTGGTATTGTCATGTAGCTTAAACTAAGTTCCAATATCTATTGTAGAGTAAAACAAAAAACAACACAAAATACCTCTCACTAGTTCTCAGTCAATTCTTCTCTTAAAGCCTATCTAGTCTCATCTTTTACATGCTTGGTGATTGTGTAACAAACACTATTTCTCTATCATCATTTTCTTCCCTACTGATTTTACATGAAATTTTTTACATAATCTGGTGGCTACTATCACTTATGAGTTGGTCAAATCGAAGAGATGGCAGAAAATATGACACAAAGAGCTCTTTGTGAAGACTAAAGTGTGGTTTATTTACAATTTTGTCCTCAGCTTTTAATATGTCGTGGATTTTATGTCCTTTAAAATTTCCACGCAAATATAAGGGGTACATACTCCCATAATCTCAAGTTCTTCATAGAACTGAGTAAACAGACATGAAGTTGAAAGATAGAGAGATGGCTATTCTAAGAAATGAAATAAATGCTCATTGCCTGCAGACAGGTTCAAATCTAGATTTTTTTAAAAAGGGTTCCTGACACTTTCAGGATTGGAAATGTAAAAAGTTGTTGTGGGGTCCCTGACCTGCCAATTTAATTTTGACCACCCTCTCCTCATTTTCTGACCCTGGCAAAAGAGGCACAAGAGTACGTCATGTGGTTTACCTTTGAACAGCTCCAAGGCATAGGAATTTGATAAGTGAAAGCACCTTCTAATGATTTGTTGTTCTACAATTTATATCCACACGCACACATATATAACACAGGTAGAGTATTTCCTGGAGGGTTCTCCAACATAAATCAATGAAATGATGTCATGTCAGACAAGGGAAATTCTTCAAAGAAAGACAACTTGGCATACAGAGCTCAGACACTGAAGACACATTTGAACAAACAGGCAGCCTGTGTGCCCAAACTGCCTTGTCTACAATGGGAGAGTTAGGAAAAGCTGAAAAGTTTGGTTGTTTGACAGGACTCCTCTTAGAAAAGATTATCAGTTAATGGACAGATGACCTGGCTAGGATGAGGAAGCCATAATTATGCCCTAGAGGTCTAGGAATTTAATCCATTCTATCACTTCATTTAGTATGATTACCATCTTGGCCATTATAATTATAACTATAATATGTCTCTTTCTTTGCTTACAAATAGCTAATATAACAATAAATCTACTGCTAAACATCACAATGCTAAACCATAAGATCTTTCACATTTTAATTATTCTTTGCATATTAAAGTAACACATGCTTACTGTAGAAATACTGTAAAATGAGAAAAGTATAATGAAGAAAAACTACTTGTAATCCTATTGCTCAGAGATAAACTTCTAAAATACTTGATATAATTTCTTCTAGTCTTTTTGCTAAGATGTTCCCATCTATATTTCCCTATCTCCATTCCTACACCCCCCCAACACACAAACATGCAAACAGGGGGTCGCATCCCCCATCACTTACTAGAAAAAGGCTTACCCTTTTGACCCCTTAATTTTCTTATCATAAAATGCAGATAAGAAGATGTCTGCTTCACTTGACTAGTGTTCAGATTACATGCATTAGTATATGCAATGTCTTCCAATCCCCCAGCCCATATCAGATACTCAGTAAGTATTGGCTGCTATTGTCTCACTGTATATATAGTTCAGTTTTCTTTTTTTAACTTTGTAAAATGCATTCATATTCTGTCCAGCAGTCTCCATTTTCTCTGCTATGACCTTAGTCTAAGAGAGCTCACGAACGGCTGAAATGATCATCTACTCAATGTCCCCTCTATGACTAACAGTCTAGTCTCTATATAGTAGAGAGGGTCAACCTGTTATAAACGTAAATTAGACCATATCACTCTCCTCCTTCAATCCCTCAATGATATACAACTACACATGAGACAGAACAAATTTCTACATATCACTTAGGGACTGGATTCCAATTCACATCATAGAACCCTGGATGGAGGTAGACAAACCAAAGAAGAATTTGAAGGCGGTATTCCAGAATGAATGTCACAAGTGCCTGATACCATCAAGGTCCTACATACCTTTTTATCTTTCCGCTCCAGAATCCTTAACCTCAAGCTCTCAATCTCATGGTTGCAAGGCAGTGCTCCATCTCCAAGACCTTTCCCATGGTCTAGAGAAAAAGAGAAGAGAGGAATTCAAGGTATAAGTCAAAAATTCAAGGAGATAAACTACAGATTCTTTCTCCTTTGCAAGAGTCCTGGAGAAGGCTCCGACACTAATTTCATCATACATCTTTATTAGCATAGACTGTATCACAATCCCCAAACTACTACGGTTATAGCAGACACCAGGAAATCAATATTGTAATTATACATGTTGGTATTCCACACTCCACTGTGGGTGTCTCTGTAAGAAAAGGATGGGGTGATAGAGTGAGCTCCCAGGGCTTAACTGTCCCCTCTCTCTTTGCTCACTGTGCCCAATGTTGGTCTTAGTTCTAAAATGCAAATTTCCTATCCAACTCAAGAAAAGTCATTGCCATTGCTTTCCCTTTTTCATGGAAGTTTCTGCACTCTGGTTCTCACATGGTCAGCTCTTCATTTTCTGTCAGTGGAAATTCCCTCCCTGGGTTCCCTATGTGAGGTCACCCTCATTCTACCCGTTCATTTACTTCATAGCACGTAGCACTACCTTCATTACCCTTCCTATTAATTTGTTAAAATGTTTATTGTCTATCTCTTGCCTGGGACAAAAGATGCCAGAGGGCTAACCCTTCACTCTGGTCTTTTCTCTGGTGCTCAAAATAGGACCTAGACGATAGGTCGTGTTAGACTTAGTGAACAAATCTTCATGCATTATGATAGCTTTGTGTTTTCATTAAATGTTATTCAGTAGATTTAATAAATGCATAATATTTCACTGACTAAATATAACACAATTAACCATTTGCACTGGTTTGACATTCTGGTAAACGAAATAATGTTCCCCCAAATATGTCCACATCCTAATACCTAGAACATGTGCATATCACTTTACATGGTGACACTGCAGATGTGATTGAGCTAAGAATATTAATTTTAAGATTTTAGAATGGAGATATTATCCAGGATTATCTACATGAGCTGATGTATTCACAAAAATCCTATTTAAATTATGCAGAAGTAGTCAAAATGGAGGAGGCAATATGATAACAGAGCAGAGATGGATAGGATGTGCTTTGAAGATGAAGGAAGAGCACCACAAGCCAAAGAAGATGGGCAGTCAACAAAGGTAAAAAATGCAAAGGGTAGAGGGGACCTAATGGGCAGTGGTAGAGGACTATGGGTGCTTTGGTGGTAGGTGTGGTGATGTACCTCTGAAGAGGGGTGAACCTATATCCCTAAATGATATATAGTGTTGTAAAACAGTGTTACCTCAATATAAATAATACAATTTTAAAAAATAAGGTCACTGAAAATGAAGCAAGTTGTTACAGCAGCAACAGGAAACTAATACAGATACTTAGGCATTTTTTTCCCCTAAGTATTGACTATTAGAACAATGTTGAATGCACTTCCTTTTGCAAATGACTACCTTAGAATGGATTTTTAGAAGCAGAATTCTTATAAGCTGGCACCACCTTCCTGCTTCCCTGTGGTGACAGGTAAAATGCCTCAGCAAGTTGGCTGCATAGAAGTGTCTGCTGTCTTGAACAACAGCACAAGACCTGCATAGAATTAAGTCACTTTGTACAACAGTCACACAAACACAAAAGAGATTGCTTCCCACGCAGGGGAAACAAGGCATATAAAACATAAGCAGATCACAAGGATGGTTTATTTTTTCCCATAGCTCTCATTAACACTATAACCTAGAAGTGGTGAGCAGGAAAGAGTTAAACTATAAGGCCAGAAAAAGATCAAGGTCAGCTCCAAGATCTACATACACCTTGAGACCTGCCAGATGGGCCTATGAAGTGCAAAAATAGCATTGATCCTTAAGGGAATTCTGACACACAAGTCCTGACCTGTGAGAGACTCAGAGAAGCCACTGGGTAAGACCCTACAGTGCCAGTATAAGAGGGTGTGATCTGTGTTTGCTGCTGGACCAGGGGTGTCCATGGTCAGAGAGAAAATATTGACTCAAGGGCCAAGTGATAAATATGGGGTCCCTCAGGGCAGAACATGTCAATGACCCTGCCACAGGACATAGGAGAATTGCTGCAAATAATTCAGTATGGAACATTGTGAATGATTAATTTCTGAGTTTTCCAAAATTGTCCCCTCCAACCTAGAACTTTGAAACTCAATGTGTTGTATACCAGCAGCACTGCATGGCAAAGGAACTTGTTAGAAATGCATATCTCAAGCAGCATCCAAACCTGAGAGCATCATTATCTGCATTTTAACAACATCTTCATGTGATTCTTGTGCACATGAAAGTACGAAAGTATAAGCCCTAGAGTCTAAGCTGCACGAAGCAGTCTTTGTTGGTTTTGTTCAGTGTTGGATTTCCAGTACTGCAAAGAGTTCCTGGAGTTACTTGAAGGGGCTCAATAAATATTTGTTTTATGAATGATTAAGTGAATGCAGTGAGGCTTGCATGCTGAGGACAAATTTGAAAAGAGCGCCTTTCGTATTATTCTCTGTATTTTACTCACACACACACATACACACTCTCACTCACACACACATATTTAAATCAGATAATATATTTTTTGCAGCCATTCCAGAGATAAATTAACACAACTTAGATAAGTGGATGCAAGATGAACTCCTTTCCTGGCCACTCTGAAAGCCTAAATAGATGAAGACATTAAGATAAAATATCTAAAAGGATACCAGAGCACTTACTACCAGGACTGAGAAGAGCATGTGGATGTGGGAGTAACCCCAGTGTCATGTGCAATACCAGCTGGCAAGGTGTGGAGAAAAGGAACCACTTGTGCACCATTGGTAGGGATTCTCCATCACTGCTCATCATCATCCAGCCTGAAGAGTTATCAATATATTGCCAAATTGGTTTCATCTATACCTCCCAGCCTCCATTCTCTAATGCTCAATAGCATTACTGAGGAACAAAATACATAAATTTCACCCATCATGAGACTACAAATAAATGATTTTTCAGTAAATTTATACAGATGTGCAAACATCACCACAATCCAGTTTTAAAACTGGATTTATCAACCCAACAAGTTTCTCACCCCATGACCCTCCAGGGCTTCTCCCCACACTTCTGTTCTTGTTCTGTTTACAGTCAATTTCTGTTCCTAGTCTCCGGTAGCTACTGGTCTGCTTTATGCCTCTACATTTGCCTCTTGTGGACATTTCATAAATAGAGAATTACACAATGTGTAAGCTTTTGATTCTGAAGTCCTTCATTTAGCTTGTTGAGGTTCATCCTTGTTGTAGTGCATTTAAGTAGTTCAAATCCTTCTGACAACTGATGAGTATTCCAAAATATAAATATACCATGTTTTGTTTTTGCAATCACAAGTTGATAGACATTTGGATCTAGTTTGGGATCTTTGCATTATAATAGTGCTGGAACATTTAAAAGTCTTGTATAGATATGTTTAGTTTGGATAAATAAATAGGTGTGGAATTGCTTGGTTACCAGGTAGCTTTTTAAGAAACTTAAGTAGTTGCACTATTTTATTATATTTTATTGTTTTTATATTTAGGTAATACTGGTTTACAATACTGAATGTGATTGAGAGGCCCAAGACCACACCTCCTCAAGTGCATGTCACCACACCGCACTCACCACCCAAGGCACCCACCATCCTCCAGCTTAGTCCATTGTGCATTCCTCACTTTATTTTTCTCTTCCCCATCCCCTTTCCCATCAATTTCACAGTCATATTTCTAAGGTTTGCTATTGGTCTAGTTTTGTCTGGCCATTCGTTTTGTTTCTCTATATTCCACATATAAGTAAAATCATCCAGTATTTGTCTTTCCTTTTAAATTCTTTCACTTAGCATTACCCTCTCTAGTTCTTTCCATGTTATCATAAATGACAAGATTTGATCTTGTTTTTACAGTTGAGTATTATTCGATTGTGTATATAAACCAACCGCATTTCTCTAATCCATTCATATGTCCTTGAGTACTCAGATTGTTTCCATAACTTGGTGATGGTAAATGTTGCTGCAATGAACATAGGAGTGCGTATATTCCTTTGAATTAGTGTTGACGCATTTCTCAGGTAGATGCCAAGGAGTGGAATTTCTGGGTCTTACAATAGATCCATTTTTTGAGAAATCTCCATATTGATTTTCATAGGAGCTGGACCAGTTTACTTTCTTCCAAGAGTGTATAAGTTTCCTTTAATTCAATATCCTCACTGACATTTGTGGTTTCTGGTCTTTTCGATAAGAGCAGTCCTCACAGGTGTGAAATGGTATCTCATTTTGGTTACATTAAGTAATGATAAGTGATAATGATAAGCAATGATGACCTTTTTTTTTCATGCACCTGTTGGCCATCTCTATGTCTTCTTAGGCAAGTGTCTTTAAATCTTCTACCCAATTTTTGACTGGGTTATTTGTTTTCTTTATGCAGAGTTGTAGGGATTCTTTATATATCTTGGATGTCAGCCCCTTGTCAGATGTGTGGCGTGCAACAATTTTCTGCCATTCAGTAGAGAGTCCTTTTGCTTTACTGTGCTTCTTTGTGGTTGTACTATTTTCCATCATCACACTTCTCACATGGTGGTGACTATAGTTAATAATGTCGCATTCTATACTCAAAAGCTGCTAAGCTTTTAAATGCTCTCACTACAAAAAAAAAAAAATGGTAATTACCTGATGTGATGGAGGTGTTAGTTAAGCCATGGTGGTAATCATTTTGCAATATAAATATATCAAATCAACACATTGTACACCTCAAAGTTACACAATGTTATATGTCAATTATATCTCAATATAGCTGGGGGGGAAAATCACAAGGTACTTGTGAAGAGACTAATAAATAAACCTGAAAAGTGAGCATCAGTCTACGTGTGTGTTTATATTCACAAAATCTATTTCAAGCTATTCCTTAATCACTGTTAATTACTTCTCTTATTTCTAACCTTCCAGGTAAAGAAACAAGCTCCCTTCTCTTTGTATTTGAAGACCTTACACTGCAAGTACCTATCAAATAAGTATCTATCAAATCCTGTGTGGCCCAGGGCTGCAGCCTGAGGGCAGACATTCACAAAAACCCCTTCCTTGTCCTCATCTTCCCTCCTTAACCCTCCTCTTGTTAAGGGCAGAGTCCTCTGACTCTGGAGGTCACAAAATCTCCCATTTAGGGAGAGGGCTCACTTGGCTACATTTAGTTTACTTGGCTACAAACATGCAATTCAGCTGGTTAGAGGTTTTCAGAGCCTGTAAGTCACAGGAATCTAAATCTGAAGAAACCATGTCCGTCTGGTTCAGTTCCAAGTAACCCAAAGCTTGTCTGATGAGATGAACCATGGTTGTTCCCCAGACTGGCCTGAATGTGGTAAAGCAGCAGGAAAGCTCAGGGGGTAGCACCTTCAGGGGTGATTAGGAGTGTTAGGACTCCCTTGTAACAAGGGACTGGCTACTCCTCTCAGTTTTCCTGCTTCTAAGCAGGTACACAGCCCTACCTCTGCTACAGCCTGCAGAGAAACAGGCCCAGGTTGTTCAAGGAATGAGCATACTGACTTCCTCTCTGTGATGCCTGGCAAAATGCTGGCTGCAGCCTCCAGAAAGAGTACACTGAATGGAAGGAATATTCCAGACTCAGCCACTGGGGAAGTGAAGCCATTTCACTTCCTGAGCCTTCATTTCTGCTTCTGTAGATTAACCACATCATCATCTCTACCTGTAGTGGTATCAATGTGATAAAAAAAAAAAAAAGTTCTAGAATGTCCTTGGTGAGAGTCAAAGCACCACACAAACAGAAACCAAAAAATGGCAGGCTCCATCCATGTTGCTATGTGCAGCTTTGGACTTGATATTTAAGTGGCCAAAAGTATGAGCAACTTTCTCACTGACATTCTTCTAACAAAGGTAATTCAGATTGCAAGAACATACGCACAATAGTCATATAATTACATGTTTTCATTTGAATTTAAAAAAAGCATGTTCATAAACCTTTTTCCCTGAATATGTCCCTGTACAAACATATGTTGTTTATCATGCCTCTAATTGGCTCCCTCGTTCTAGTCTGACTCTCCCAGATCCATCCTTCATACCACTGCCAGTCTGCTCTGGCTCAAAGACAAATCTGAGGTTGACTCCTCTTTTTCCCTAAAGAACCATATCCAATCAGTCAAGTCTTATGGATTCTGTCTCCTTAATAGTTCTCAAATCCATCCATTTTTCTCCATCTCACCTGACATGCCTCCATTTTAAGTCACTATCATTTCTCAAGGAAAGTAATGAACCAGCAGCCTACACAGTCACTCATAGGAGGGCCTGGCTCGCTCTTTTTATCTTGATTCCTTTCTCCATCCTGCAGCCAGAATCATCTTCCAGAAATGTAAATTTTATCACATAACTTCCCATGGAAACCACAATCGGCAGGATAATTGGGATAAAATCCCCCAACTGCTGGATCCAGGTTCAACTTTCAAGACTTTGCTCAGCTCCTGTGCCTCACTTTGCACACGTCTTTTATTGCAGGTTCCCTTCCAGCCATTCCTAACGGTGTAGGGTTCCCCCATCCCACTTTTCACCTTGTCTGCCCTTTGCACATGCTGTTTCCTTCACCAAGAACTCCAGCCATTTCCACACCCATTGCTTCATGTATCTACTTCCTTGATGCAGTCTCATCACTGTCATCACCTCCTTTGGGACTTCTCAGGACCTCTAAGACCAGGCTAGATGGCTTTGCTATGTGTTTTTACAGCACATATCACACTATGGTACTTATCAATTTGTTGCTATGGTTCATTTCATGAATTGCACTATCAATTCCCCAAGAGCATAAATGAATCCTGCCCCTGTTATTTCTCCACAGTGGAGTTGCTGTGTTTTCACACAGATTTCTTCCCATTTGCAACTGTTGATAGTAGTTGCCAGGTACTGCCCTAGGTTGCAAAAGCTGCTACACCCACAATGGGCCCCTCTTGGGGTCACTGGGCCACCAATGACTTGGGCATACAAGTCCTGACTTGGGCATACAAAGGCCTTGCTTCCTTGCCTCTTTGGGAAAACTCTAAAGGGTTAACTCAGCTCAGCACTTCTGGAAGGCCTGGACTGGCCCTCAGCTGCAACCTCATTACACCGCATCCAATTCTCTTCCCATCCAATTGCATTGCCCTCTTTTTCTTTCAGATGTGTCTCCCAATAACATTCTCCAATAAGCCTTCTGCATACAATTGATGATTCTCATTCTCAGAGTCTATTTCCTAGGAACCCAGTCCAAAACAATAGTTCTCAAATCCATTCATTTTTTTTTACCACCAAGCATAGTATCTTGCACATTGTAGGTGCTCAAAATATATTTCATACATGAATGAGTGAATGGGTAAATGCCTTTAAGGACCAATTCTGAGAGCAGGAAACTTATATCATTCATATTTCCATGTCTAGAACCCAGCACAGTGCCTGATGACTTGCTTACTTGAATTGTCCTTTGAATGTTCTCATTATTGTGTGAGCAAGGGAGCAGAAACCACCTTCTGGAGGCCTGTGGTTACCTTCTCTATCCATCAGGTTAAGAGGGAGACAGCTAGACGCATAGGGTCATGGAAGTCATATTACTCAGCATAATAATAACCTTTACTGCTTCAATGGAGGAAAAAGTTATGTAGCAAATTATAAAGCAGTTAGAAAATACTTTGCATTTTGGTAGGGTTTCAAAGGAATTGCTCTCCCTGAGAATTAACTTTAGGGTGAGCTATATGTTATTCTAATATATCTGATAGGATCTTTTTTAAAGTTTATCTCTAAGAAAACCTCAAAAGAGATCTGCCTGAAAGGTTACTGTAAGACTTAAAACATAAGACCCCTCTTCCTGTACGATTTTGAAGCTATTTGGGTTATGATAAGAAATTACTCCCTGTCCAGATAAAAACCCCAGATGTTCCTCTGGACATAATTACCTGGACTAGGGGGATGTCTTAACGAGAGGAATCACA